CAATCCACACGAGGCGAAGCTACCGTAGGCAACTTCGCTACTGCTTGACCGACTGGCCCTCCTCCAAGTAACACCTCAAGAGCAGCGAACACATACGTTCGACCTTAAACGATCGGCCATTCCTCCTTGAACGTCTCGACTGGCCCTATTCCGAGAGATACGAAGGGGCCTAGTACACAAATCCCAGGACTCCCCCCATATATCCAATACGTCCTGGGTATTCGTCTTCCCCTCCACACTTCCCACATGTTATATATATATATATATATATATATATATCCGGGGGGTCGACAATTAGTTGTGCCTGTGCGTTTTTTGGGGCGGCGAGCGAGGGGGGAGGTGAGAAGGAGAAGGCATCCTCAGAAGGCTCGGAAATCCCCCGGCCTTCTAAGATGTGTTCCAAGCCTTTGCCGCAGGCACGGAAAACCTCTCAGAAGGCGCGACGGCTTCTGATAATTGAGCAGGGACCGACCGTCCCACCATTCCAACAGCCTACCGCGACATTATCTTAGAACCCGAGATGCTCTCATCTCGAATAGCCACAACAACGTTCTTATAACAGAGGCACAATGTGTTGAACAAGGGCAGTCGCAGCCAGAAGTGTTCTAAGAACTTGTTTCGCGCAACCTACCAAACGATGCTACACTGTATTACTTGGTGGGCGTCTGGGCAAAGCCGGACGCTTCGCCACTGCTCGAGAGAAACCCCGCCGCATTCTGAGAAGGCCTTCTCCTGCTCACTTCCCCCCCCCCTCGCTCGCCGCCGGCAACCGCACACACAAAGACACACACACAGGGGAGAGGGAGACGGAGAACCCAGATGCTGCGGGCATGGGGCACGAGGGAGGAAGGGGGGCCGCACGCCAACGGGGAGGACGAGGAGAAGCGGCAGACAAGAGGCCGGGACAGGAAACGACGAGGAGGGGATGGCCGCTCGCTGCCGAGAAGAAGCCCCGCTCCGCGCGGGCGGTCTGGGCCAGCCGCGGGGGGGGGGCGCCTTGGGCGGCTGCTCCGCCGAGGACCCCGCGCACCCCATCGCGAGCCGGGCCCCGCGGGCCCCAGGCCCGCGGGCCTGGCCTGCTGCGGGGATGGGCCGGGCGTGACCGCAGCGGGGAGGGGGCAACCCTGAGGTCCTGGCGTTGCAGAGTTGGCTCTGGGGCGCGAAGGGCTGGCCAATGGGAGGGGGGGAGGGGGGGGGAAAATGGGCCCCTCTAGGGCCCTGCAGGCCCCCTCTGGGGCCCCAAGGGCTCCGCGAGGAGCCCTGCTTTTCGGCAGCCCTCGCTGTCCCCCTTGTTCTATCGCCCCCCGGTGACGCATGCATTGCCCAAGCGTTGTGTACTTGATCCACACCAGACGTGTTCGCCCGGTGTTGGGCCTCGGGACCCTCACAGATCAATCTGGCTCGAAGAATGGGGCAGAAAGATGGGGTCCAGGGCACCCGTCGCGATTGTGCCGCATGATTTTGCGCAGGCAAGCAGATCCGTGGGGTGCATAAGCCAACAGAAACGCGAGGTGCAGAAGCGTTCGCATTTGTTGTACACGTCGTTCATTCCTAAGCGTGCTCATTTCTACTTGTGCTCGTTTCTAATTGCTCCTGGCCCCCCAGTAGCCAGGAAGAGGTCCAGGATAGAACACTTAGAAATCTGTCAAAGGATTAGACATGAACACTGTGTACGCCTCTTTGGCCGGCGGTGACAGCTCAGGGGCCGTGTGGCAGTTTTTCTTACATAGGATTTTGAAACATATGGGATTTTGAATACAGGATCAATCTATGAATAAATTTATGCATGCACTCATCGTTGCTTTTAATACTGAATCCCTGCATTTTTTTATACAGCAGCGCCACCGGCGCCGCCCCTGGCGCGGGGAGCGCGCCATGGGAGGGGTGGTCCAGCGCCAATGCACGAGACTCGAGCGGACCTCCGAAGGTCGATGCTCGTGCAGTGAGTGCGCCTCCTCCAGCTTGCAGTAGGAGCTAGACTGCAAGGACCTCCTGCAAGATAACCCGACCCCAGGACCACAGGGCGTCCATCGGTGTCTGGTGTAGGGGCGACACGGTTTCCACAGCCAACGCTCGAAGCCCAGACAACCTAGGGCACCCTGGAGGCAAGCAGGGTGTTTCTTGGCATGGGTTCCCACTGTCTGCTTAAGCAGTTGTTCCCTCTCTTCTACAGGGCAGTGTTTAATACATGGGATTTTTTTTAATCATATAGGATTTTATAACATGATCAATGTATGAAAAAATATATGCATGAACTCATCGTTGTTTTTGATACTAAATCCCTGCATGTTTAATACATGATCCGCACGCGGAGCATGTATTCAAAACGGCACTGTACTTTAGGGCCCATACATGGCCAGACGAGCCCGCAACCCTCGATCCCCCCGCGGTTCACGGTCTTGCGGCGGCCCGAAGCGACACGCTGCGCCCTCCGAGTGGTAACACGTGCCGCTCCGCCCCGCAGGGCGGAGGGAGAGGGGAGACGGGCGCGAGGCATGGACTCCTGGGGACCGGTCGGTGGCAGCTCGTTGGAGCCTCCTGTGCCATCGTGTCGGCTCTTGCGAATCGGCGCTGGCCGGCGCTGAGTGGACGCTGATCGACGCCAGATCGACGCTCATCGACGCAAGCTCGACGCTAAATCGGCGCTATCTCGCCGACTCGAAGACGCTTACCGACGCTGGAGACGGAATTAAGAGGGTATACCAGGCCCCCACGATTTGCTACCGAAGGACCCGGACATGGGTAGCGTGTCGCGCCCAAGCGTGGTGGGCCAGGACCCGCGGAAAGACACGCTGAGCCAAAGCTCCCGACAGTACTGCCCACCCCGCTGCCGCCCGCCCGAGATGGGGAGCTTAGGGGCTACAGGCTCGGGCTCGAGCCTCGGCGGAAGGCGGTGAGGCGCCCGTAGGTCGGCGCGCGGGCTGTAGAGCGATGCGACTGCACACGGTGCGCGCTGCACACCTCAGCGAGCCCACAAAGGACGGACGCGCCCGGCCACGTACAGGAATATGGCCCCCAAGTCCGCGAGGCCAACCTCGTGCTGCGAAGGTTCGCGCAATGCGTGCTTTCGAAACCAACGTAGAGTCATGTACGTGCACGTCCTTCTTTCGCTCCAGACGCATCTGTGTCGCAGACGCATGATGAATCAGTGCCCGCGTGTTCGAACATGGACCCCTTGTTACCCATCGTTCTTGTGAGGCCTTCGGCGGTCTTCGGGCGGTCTTCGGCGGTCTTCGGTGGTCTTCTGACGGCCTTCTTCGGTTCCTGACTGTACAATGACGGTCGTCGGCGGCCTTCGGGGTCCCTGGCGGTTTCTGGCGGTCTTTGGCGTTGTCCAGCGGTCTTTGGAGCGAGAACTGTGCGATTGCGTTTAACAAGGGGTCCATGATCAAACGCCCAACGCATGCACCGTTGTTCACCAAGAAACGTAGACGCATAGACACGCCGCAAAGACACATCTTCTTCCTCCGGCTAAGTGGCGTCGCCGCAGCGATCGATAGCAGGGGCGCTGACTGCCGAACTGATAACCACCAGGCGATGCTAATGGTAGCGAGGCGGAAACCGCCCGCCAGGGGGCCAGAATTGCCTCAAATAGTGCCTTAGATGATTGGTTGTCTTGCTCAAATCTGGACGACTTGCTCAGCTGCCGGGCCAAGCTGCCGAGCAGTTGCCACAACCCCATTCGTTGCCTATGTTCTTAGTGTGGGGTGCCTCGGCCTGGCCAGCTGGGCTCTGAGACCGATCCATGGCCTGTTCTGGCAACCGTGGCAGCACGCGGCCGCTCTCCTGAACAGCTCGTCCCGCTCGAAGGCGGCCGCCTCCTCCGCGCGCCGGGGAGGGGGGCGCGGGAGGCACGCCCGGCCGCCCGCCGAGAGCGCAGACGACCATGCCCGCGGCGCACCTGCTGGATTCCCGTCGTCCTGGGCTCGCCCAGCGTCGGGCGCCCCCCGCTCGGGAGCACAGGCGAGCGGCAGCACCACCACCCGCACGAGCCGAATGGGGGGCTCGCCCGGTGGCGTGGCCCCCCCCGTCCCCGCTCGAGACGTGTCCCCCGTCCCCGAGTCGGGGAGGCGTCGTGCACCTCTTCGCTGGAGGCGGCACCCCTGGTGGCGGTGGTGTCGCTGCTGTTTCCTCCGACCATCCTCCTCCTCCTCTTCCTCTTCCTCCTCCTCCTCCTCCGCCTCCTCCTCCTCGTCAGTCCCTCCCCCCCCCTGGGTCACTCTTGGAGGGTGCTCCGGAGGCCACAGCGGCCTCCCCAGAAGTCATGGGAAGCCTTAGAGACGAAGAACGCCCGTGACAGTGCCACTCCGGACGATCCGTCCGCATCGAATCGGGAAATCGGATCGAATTGAGATCTGCGTCGGATCGGGCCGCATCGGCAGGGAGCCCATCGAATCAAATCGGCCGCGTTAGGATGCACGAAAACGCCCTGCAGACATCGGGCCAAATCGTATCGCCTGAATACCGCAGTCGGATCGGATCGGGCTGGCCGCAATCGATATCGAGTCGGATCGATCGGGTCTGGGAGGGGACAGAAGTGGAAGCAACAAGAGGGGGGGGGGCCTCGCGAATCGGCTCTCTGCTGTTGGTTTCCCAGGCGCCTCGAGGAGCCAGGCGCGCCCAACATGGAAAGAATTGCCCGGCGGTGGGTCCGAACCCGGCTGCATGCGGCCCTTCCAGACACCCGGGGCTTCCTCGTCCTCCTCCTCCTCGTCCTTCTCCTCGTCCTCCTCCTCGTCCTCCTGGTCCTCCTTCTCCTCCTCCTCCTACTGCTCCTCCTCCATCTCGTCCTCCTCCTCGTCCTCATCCTCCTCCTCCATCTATTGGCTCAAGCCGCTGGGATCTTGATCGTGCTGAGAGACGCGGTTCGATGGGACAGGCCAGTGTCACAGCGTTTGGGCTCAGCAGGAAAATGCCCAAACATAGACCTGTCACAGTCTACAATGATGCGGCCAGTGGGTGTACAACTGGCGGCTGGACAAGCAAGGAGGGCAATGCAAGTGCGGCGCGTGGCTGGAACCGTTCCAGAGCAAGCCGCCCTGGCGCAGCAATCACTACGGACAGCAGTAGCACGCTGGCAGCTCGGCGACAGCGTGGTGGGGCCAAAGCCAGGAGGAAGCGATGGCAAGACGGCGGCCATGAACGTCCTCGCAGGGGGAACCAAACAGCTGGTCAAGGAGATCGAGGAGCTCCAGCGCAAGTACGCGCCGAGGCCGCCTCAGCCGAGGCTACCTGACGCACGGCAGCCGATCATGATGGCCATGGGGCAGCATCAGAAGGCGCAGATGTAGCGACTGGAGTGCGAGGATGAACTGGAGCGCTTGTCCATCCTCCATGACGGGGCGTTCCTCCGCCGTGACCAGGCCTTGGAGGATGCCTTCGACGCGGATCAGGCCCGCACCAAGGCCTCGGCGGATCACTACAAGCAGGTGGGCAAGGGCTATATCGTCAAGGCTGGGGAGGAGGAGCCTGCGCAAGCGGACGTGCGGACGATCCTGGACTTCTGGACGCCAGCCTGGACGACTACGAGGACGGCCCAGAGAAGGAGGCGGTGCTGGCCTTCCGCGGCAAAGGTGCAGGAGATCCAGCAGGCAGAGAAGACTTCCTTGCAGCAGGTCAAAGAGGCAGAGGCGGCGCTTGCTCGGAAGCAGGCAGGGGGGCACCCCGGAAGCTCGTGGAGGAGACGAAACAGCTGCACGACCAGCCGGAGCAGCGTCAGAAGCTCCTGGTGCAGCAGGTAGAGCAGCAGGTAGAGCAGCTCCTCAGCCTGCGCACGCAGCTCAAGGAGAAGCGCAGGAAGGAGGACGGCCGGGCGGTCCCAAGCGAAGCCGCCACGGAAGAGCCTGGCAAGCAGACGGGTGCGGAGCCAGGGGCAGCGGCTGCTGAGCCAGCGGCTTCCCCAGATGACGAGGCAGCCCCGAGGAGGGAGCACGAGCTGCCGGACTACCAGGCGAGGGTCGAGGCCAAGCGCGCCTTCTCCGCCGCCAAGGGGGGCGGCAAGACGGGCACACCAAGCGCTTCGGGGGCTGCTGGGGCTCCTGCTGGCGCTACTGCTGCCGGGGAGGGTGCAAGCGAAAATGGAGCAGCTGCCAGCCGTGATAGACCGTCGCGCCAGGATCCAGAGCGATGGTGAAGCAGGAGATGAAGGTGGCGAACCAGCTTCTGGAGGGCTTTATCCGGGAGGGAGGACTGGCCATCTCCAACAAGACCCGGCTGCTTGCGTCGGACACGCAGCTGGGGCGGGAGCTGCAGGCGGAGCTGGTGTCGCCTGCCCCGTCGCTGCAGTTTGCGCTGGACGCCACCGACCTGGGCAGCGACGCGGCTGCAGGAAGGAGGCGCTGCCGCAAGAAGCAGCGCAGCAGGATGCAGGCGGCTGGCAGGCGCGCAGGCCGCGGCACGAGAATGAGGAGGAGCGCGGCTCTCACCGAAGAGGCGAAGGGACTCGGAAGCACGGGAGCCTCCCCACGGGCCACCCACGGCCACCAGCTCCGGGTGGCCTGGCGCCGTCGAGCATCGAGACGCCGAGGCAGCAGGCGGGCGCAGCAGTGGGCGGACAAGCTGGCGCCCGCTGCCTCACCACGGTCGTGGCTCTAGGACTGGAGGAGGACGACCCAGCCATCAAGTTGCGCCTGCAGCCGGTGGACTCGTGGCTGGAGCTCTGGGAGACGGCACCAGAGGTCCATGCGATGATCAAAAACATCTGGCTTGCTATCCGCGGCGCGCTCCCGAGCGCCGGTGCGGGTCGGCGTTGACGACGTGTCCGCGGCCCCGTCGGCGCGCTGCTGGCCACGTTCATGGAAGTTGGCTGGGAGGCACGCGCTGCCATTACGTGGTGCAGACCTCAAATGGACGGCACAATCACAGAGTGACACCTGGTGGAGTTGTGCCCGGAAACCTACGGGCATCAAGCGCCAGCTGTGGAAGCAGGCGGCGACTCAGGAGGATGGCAACAACCAGAAGAACGGCACGGACACGTTGCACGTGAGGCGCGAGCTCGACCGCTACGCGTGCAGAGGAATGTGGGCCTGGGAACGATGATGGCCACGCCGCGTCCTGGCTTCCGCAAGTCGGTGCCCCGATCGGAGAATAAGTGGCCTGGCTGTGGCCCTGGACCACACCACGGGCTCGGTGCACGTTGCGACAGACCACGAGGCTCTGTTGCACGAGCGCGGCCCCCGAGGGGGTGCCGGGCCACCCGTGGGCCCAGGGAGTGTCTCCGAGCGAGAACTCGCGCGGCGGCCGAGGGCCGCGGGGTCATCCTGGCAGGGGCCCCCCCACACGCCGAGGAGACAGGCGGGCCGACTGGCCACGGACAGAGGCCCCTCCCCAGCCGAAGGCAACGCCACGGCCGACCATGCGGCGGGGGAGGCTGCGGATCTGGCCCGCCGGGGGTTCGCTCTGCACCGACGCTTCCAATGCTGGCCGCTGGGAGGCGGTTGCCTCTCTGGCGGGCCGTCGAGCGCCCAAGTGGTGCCCAGCGGTGGCGGCGTGAAGATAGCTCGGCTCGAGACGGCCCACGCGATGGCTCAGGCGGGAGCGAAGGGGCACTGCGCGGTCTGCAACCAACGGACTCACGCAGCTGCTTGAGATTTCCGCACCCCGTGCGACCCTCCGCCAGCCCCGCCTGCCCCGCCCCCCGAACGAGTTGAATTCTGCCCCTAGGGGCTGCGGTGGGTGGAGGGTGGAGAAGCCTGGGAGGGAGGGCTCTGCATTCGTCACACAAGCGCGGTGAATGACCCAGATCTGGCATGTTGTTCTGCCACGTGTGTGGCAAGCACGCGAAACAATATGTCAGCCACTTGGGAGAGCGCTGCCTCGGGAAATCCCGTAAAAGGGTCGGAGAAACTGTCGCGTGCCAGGCAGAACTTGTAATCCTAGGCGAGAGGGCCCGCTTAAATCGGTCCTCGCGGTGATCGAATACGTGCTGAAGAGGTGGCCAAAGCTAAGAAGCCGGGGGACCCTGGGACTGTGTGACCTTCCCCGTCAGCCGAGGTCGCGCCGAGAGCCCAGGGCAGTGCATCCTCGGTTGAGCCTGGTGCACCCTCCCAGCGGCCCATGGAGGGCGACCTAACGCCGTGGAAATCTGGCGTTGGAGGCTTCGCTGCCCCGGGTTTGCCTGAGGTTGTTACCCCCCTTGACCCAGAGGAAGTGGCGGCGATGTGGCTCTTTGGTGGCACAGATCTGGCTCACCCTGCGGGACCCCAGCCAGCTGAAGGTCTGCCCCCCTTGGAGAGAGGTGGGCAGACTCCGCGGCAGCCACATCTGGTGCGGGATGCGTCCGAGAACGGCATCGACGAGGAGGAGGAGGAGGAGGAGGAGGAGGAGGAGGAGGAGGAGAAGGATGAGGAGGAGGAGAGGAAGAGGAGGAGGAGGAGGAGGAGGAGGGGGGAGGAGGAGGAGGAGGAAGAGGAGGAGGGGAGGAGGAGGAGGGGAAGGAAGGAGAAGGAGGAGAGGAGGAGGAGAAGGGGGAGGAGGAGGAGAGGAAGAGGAGGAGAGGAGGAGGAGGAGGAGGAGGAGGAGGAGGAGGCGGAGGAGGAGGAGGAGAGGGAGGAGGAGGAGGGGGGGGAAAGGGAGGAGAAAGAGGAGGAGGAGGGGGGGAGGGGGAGGGGGAGGATGAGGTGGAGGAGGAGGAGGTGGAAGGAGGAGGAGGAGGAGGTGGTGGAGGAGGAGGAGGAGGTGGTAGGAGGAGGAGGAAAAGGAGGAGGAGGAGGGCGAAGAGGAGGAATTGGTCCTCCTTGCGCCCAGGGTTGTGGTGCCGGTTTCGAATTCCACCGTGGTGCGAGGGCGGGCTGCGCCGCGAGGGCGGCATCGATGCGAAACCTTGCCAACAAAACCTCCTCCATCTCGTCTCCTTAAAGAATAACTCCTCCCAAGTCCGCCTCCTTTTCCCCGATGCGAATCCTCCTCCATCTCTTTTCCTCGATACAAATCCTCCCCACAACTCCTCCTCCATCTCTTTTCCTTATCAGTGACTCCTCCCTGTCGCATCCTGAGAGGTGTCGGAAGGGAATGCCGGGCGTTTCGCCTGAGACGCTCTCCCTTTATGTGGCCCTTCAGCTGAAAAGTTGCAATAGTTAGACAGATGGAGGGCGGGGCGTTTTCAAAGTGTGACTCTCGCGCCATCGTCGCGCACATTCGTCATAAAAAGCTCCACAAGCTTCACGGATGGAGGACTGGCCGTTTTTCAAATGTGGCTCTCGCGTTAGCGCCGCGCACACTTGTTGCAAAAATTCGCAAAGGCATCACACATTGAAGTCGAAGACGTGCCGTATTCAAACTGTGGCTCTCGCCTTACGCCGCGCACACTCGTTGTAAACGCTTGTAAGAGTTTCACGGATGATGGGCGATGTTTGTTCCGTACCTAGGCTCTGCCTAGAAGGGTTCTTACTCGGTAAACTTAAAGGGCCGGGCAATGTTCCACGCCCCGGGCGGTTCCCCTGGCATCCGCCCCGCGGTTCCCCCACTGACGTTCCCTTGGCTTAGCGTTGCTTATCTCATCTTAGCTTAGCGTATTTCATCTTAGCTTAGCTTAGCTTCATCTTAGCTCAGGCTCATCTCAGCTTAGTTTACCTTCATCTTAGCTTCGCTGAGCTTTAGCATAGCAGAGCACAGCATAGCACAGCAGAGCGTAGCACAGCACAGCGCAGCACAGCAACGCCCCGGGCGGTTCCCGCGGCATCCGCCCCGCGGTTCCCCCACTGACGTTCCCTTAGCTTAGCGTTGCTTATCTCATCTTTTATTAGCGTAGTTAACCTAAGCTTAGCTTAGCTTCATCTTAGCTCAGGTTATTCTTAGCTTAGCTTACCTTCATCTTAGCTTCGCTGAGCTTTAGCATAGCAGAGCACAGCATAGCACAGCAGAGCGTAGCACAGCATATCATAGCATAGCCCAGCATAGCATAGCATAGCGCAGCATAGCACAGCAAATCTTAGCATAGCACAGCGCAGCACAGCATAGCTTAGCATAGCTTAGCATAGCATAGCAGAGCATCGCATAGCGCAGCACAGCATAGCATAGCGCAGCATAGCATGGCAGAGCACAGCATAGCAAAGCAACCAATGCTGCTTTCCCAGGGGCTCCAACTTCTAGGTAGGGTCGCACTGGGGTAATTTAAACTGTGATTCCCGTTTCGGCACCGAGCACATTGGTCTTGAGCGTTTGCAGCAACTCCAAGGCTTCTTATGGTCGACGTCCCACGATGTAAGGGCTGTCAGGGCGCAAGGGTCACTCTGAATCGCGGTGTTGGAGTCCCCGGAGTAGCGTTCTCGCACGATTCTGGATCCCAGTGGCACGATTCAGGATCGTCAGGACGGAAAAGTAAGGTTGACTCGCAGCGGCGCTGAAGTCCAAGAAGTTGTTTTGGCACCGTTCACGACTTTCAAATCAGTGCCTTCCAACTTTGCAGCATCGCTTGACCTTGTGAAGAGGGGACTTAGAGGGAGGTTTTATTGCAACATCGTTGGCGAGTCTTGGGCTTACACTGGTCCTCCTCCTCCTCCTCCTCCCTCCGTCTGGCCCCTCTCCCTCCTCCCTCCCCCGAACTGGGTTCCGCCAAGACGTGGCCTCTGTGGGGGCCGCGCTGCGGTAGGAATGGCTGATGCCCCGTGGCCCCCAGACTGCACTCCGTGTGTCGGTCCCTGGGGTGGTGCAGTTGGGTCCCTTGGGCCTGATGGGGCCTGGTCCTTCTGTGCCGTACGGTCCCACTGCGGGCGCCCCCCGGCTGTGCCCGACCAGGTTGGAAGGGTGTGGGGCCGGGATCACGGGGGTGACTCTGGGCCCCGCTGGAGTTCGCACCGCGCCCTCCATGCGGTCGGTGGTCGAGGGGTGGCCAGGGCCCTCGACCTCGGAGGCGTGGGGGTCTCGGAGCAGCGCGTGCGGCGTCGGTGTCCGAGGAGGCCGAATCCCGCTGCCTGTGCCTGCTGCAGCGTGCCCCCCCTCCCGTCCCGGTGCCGCCCCAGGGCCCCGCCGCTCTCGGCGGCCGCGTGCGCTCCCATGGCGCAGCGGCACATCTGCAGAGCAGGCGTTGATCGCCATTGCTGTCCAGACTCTGCCCGGGCACCGTGCCTGTGGGCACTGCCGCGCTCGGTGCCAGGCTTCACGGCGTGGCTCACCATGAGGCTCGGTGCAGTGACATGGTCACCTCCCCCCTTCCTCCTCCTCCGCCTATTCCCTCCTCCCTCCTGTCCTCCTCGTCGCCCTCCTCCTCCTCCTCATCCTGCTCCTCCACCTCCTCCTTCTCCTCCTTGTCCTCATCCTCCTCCTCCTTCTCCCCTCCTCTTCCTGCTCCTCCTCCTTCCTCCTCCTCCTCCTCCTCCTCCTCCTCCTCCTCCACACTCGCGGGCAACTCACTCGCTCAACCTCAGGAGGTGGAGGGGAACGCCTGGGCCCCCAGGGACGGACGAGGGAGGGTGGCCTCGAGGGCTGCCTCGGGCAGCACCTCCTCCACTCGTAGGGCCAACAAAACATAGCATCTGGACGTGCCCTGCTTTCCTGGCGCAGTGTCCCGGCTGCGCAGGCCCCCCCCCTTCTTGCTACCCTCTTTCCACTCCAGCGCCATGCTCGTCCCATCTTCGTGTCCGTTTGCTCCCCTTCCTCCTCTCCCACCTCTTCTTCCTTCTCCTTCTCCCTCCTCCTCCCAACATCGGTCACAACTTCAGGATCTCGCTTCGCGGCGCACATGTACCTGAAAGCTTCTGCAAATGGGTGGGATGAGATGCGATCCTCTCCCAAACGAATTGTGTAGCGTGATGCGGTCAGAGTGGCCGGACAAGATAGTGCACTCAGGCGAGCGGAGAACGAAAAGAACAGATGGAGAGCCAAGAGGGTGGTCGATCCTCTGGTGCCATGGGGCCACCTTGGTATCCTAGCGTCGTCAGAGAAGCATCGCTAAGACGAGCGTGATACTCCTGACCAACAGAACCAGCAACGTCGAATTCTGGGCATGCGGCATCAGTGATATCAGCATGTTGTTCAACTCTGTGCGACAAGCCCTCCAACATCGTGTCCCATTCATGAACTCGGACTCCCCTCTTACAAAATGTGCCTTCATGCGTAGCTCGATCATGTCTGCGCTCGAAAACAAAACCAGTAAGCATACCCGAGGATGTATCTTGGTAAAGACAAAACAGCTGTGGGCAACGAGTCATAAAGTACGGCTGGCGCGTGGCGCCATAGTGTCCTGTCTGGACATCTGGGCGTGTATCGTGCGCATGCCAGCACATTGGACGCATCAGACATGTAATGGCGCATCACTAATGACTCAACTGTTTTCGCAATGTAATAACAACCGCCCGGACACATGCAATGGGCTCCGGCTTGATGCAGCACAGGTATCTCTTTGCATCCACATGCCTCCCCTTTCGTAACAAGTTCAAAGGGGTGAGCTGGAGGGAAGGAATAGGATGGGGAAGGAAAGGGCGATAGGTGGAGGATGAACAAGGTACCTGCGCATGCTTCGCAAATCCAATGGGGCAATTGTGCATCTGACTCGACACTCCAAGGCTTGAAACTGGCACACAATGCTACATCGTGCTGGCTTCGCCTATCTTGAAGACCGCGCCCGACCGTGAAGACACAAGATTCGCTCCCGACGTCCCTGCCGTGTCCTCCATGACCGCGTCTCGCTCACACTGCAACACAGCGTTCCCACGCAGAGGAGGAGGAGGAAGAAAGAGGGAGGGAAAAGGGGGAGGAGGAGGAGGTGGAGGAGGAGGAGGAGGAGGAGGAGGAGGACGTCTTTGGCCCGGACGGTTCACGGAACCGCGACGCCGAGCGACGCGAAGCGAGGCGAGCCGTCATCGCCCCGAGGCGGCCCATGGCTGGGCGACGGGCGCGCTGCATGGCGCGCCGGGCCCTCTGAGGGGACCAGGGACATGCAGACATCGAGTAGGGGATCGACTACAGAATTGATTGACCCAAACATTGTTTTCCTCGTTGCATCTACAAAAATTCGTGGAGTGGTCTACGAGCATGATACTACTGTTCGTAAGCTCGACGCGAGAATCACGTATTGCAGTCAACCAGTCATGTCGTCGATCCCCTACTCGAAGACAGGGAGAAGGGCAGGGGGGGCAATGAGGAAGCAGACCGAGCAAAAATGTGGAGACTCAGCACGGCACACGAGGCTCCGGAGCCCGTGCTGCCCCACTCCCCGAAGGCGGGCAGGCTGGCGCACAGGGCCCAGCATCTCGCGGGCGGGCAACCTTCCCCTGCTCATCAACACATCGCTCAGCCCTTCCCCCCCCGCGCCACCCCCCGCATCGCCTCCCTCCCACCTTCCCCTCCCTCCCACCCTCCCCTCCCTCCCACCCTCCCTTTCCATTCCCATTCCCCCCCCATCCCTCCAAGCTTCTCGTCCGTCCCCGTCGCAGGACACGCGTTCGACGTCCCAGCTCCGGCCAGGGGGGTGGCAGTTCCCATCCAGGCGTGCAAGCCTCCATGCGAGGTGCATCCGACAGGTCGCGTCCAGGCTATTGCACTCCTGCACGGAGGCCTCCATTAGGGCCATAGAGAAGCCGACAATATCCATATCCATCGCCTCCAGATCCCCAGGCGGTGGACATGCGTAATGAAATCCCAGCCTCGACTGACTTTTACTATGCCGTGCGGTGGAAGAATTGCGTGTGTTGCCCCTTCGCCCATGGCAGGAGGACCGACCACCCGGCAGCCCCCTCCCCACCGTCAAGCGTGAGGCCAGACGTGCAAACTCAGCCCCAGGAGGGCAGCTCCAGGAGCACGGCGAGCCCGAGATCGCTCACAGTTGGCTCCAGGCATGTCAGGCCTGGGAGTGGAGTGGTGGGAGCTCGAGAAGCACGAAGTGACCAACTCTTGGCTCTGGATACTCCGAATCAGTACTAGGAGTAGTATTATGGCGACTCTATTATTACACAAGCATGTGATTTTACAAGTTTGCCCATGGCCGACCCGGGTTGACAACAAGCAGCGCGGACCCCATCAGAAGGAGGGTTCCCGCCCAAGACTTCCTCGCAATTAATTCACCGACGAGGCTCTCGCTCGTGAGTGCCTGTGTGCATGCTTGTGTGAATGCATCTGTGTAAGTGCGTGGACGTGCGATGCTGATGCTGGCGATGCTGCTGTTCATGATGGTGATGATGAAGACTGATGATGATGATGATGATGATGATGTTCCTGTTGTGATTGTATGCGGCATTGTGTGATCATGTGACGGTGGTGATGGTGATCGTGGTATTGAGGGCAAGGAGTGGGAGTGTGTGACAGAAGTGGCGGAGGACGTGAGGAGTCTGGGGGCGATGATGATGGGGATGCTGATGAGGATGGTGGTGAGGATGGTGGTGATGATGGTGCCGTTGCTTTTGATGTTGTGACTGCGTCTGTGTGTGTGTGAACGACGATGACGAGTGAAGGAAGACGCGAGGAGAGGGGGGGGAGGGCTGAGCTGTCCCTGCGCGGGGGAGGCCCCATGACAAGACCTCCACTTCAGACGTGTGGAGATGAACAGCTTTGGCCCCCGCGGCGGGGCGCTGTGCACCGGCATTGGAGAGCACCGCTGTGCGGCGCCACCGGCCAGGCGCCCCGTCTTGTCCGAAACTGCGGGGTGCTCTCTTTGGAACCCTCGGCGCATTCCCGATGTCCGCCTCTGTTGTGATCTGGGGGCGACGACGTCGAAGGCGCAGACCGACCAGGAGCCTGAGGAAGTGCGAGCATTCTAAAGACCCGCCTGGGCTTACAAACCGCTGTTCCAGGATATCGGACTCTGGCTATATTTCTCACGACCCCGATGGGGTGGCAATTGCTGTCCTTCGGTCTGGCGTAGTTCCCTCTTTTTTTGTTTGTGTTTTCTTTCTCTCTCCTTCACCACGGATTATTCGTAGTCTGAAAGGACATATTGGTTGCGGCCATTGCGGTTGCACAGCCCTGACATCCAGGGCACCGAGTCCCGCGCAACACGGCTATACATGCTGTGCGGAACGCGTGGCGAAGTGATGCGAGTAGCCTTGTTGCTATGCCGCTCGGCGGAGCTCCCAATCTTCTAACCGGAAGGGCCTCCGCGCGGGCAGGTGGCAGGCAAGCCACATTGGCCATAATCCACTCGCGGCAACACGGGCGCCTCCTGTCTGAGACGCGCACAATGAGCCGCACTCGTTCGCGGAAGTTTTTTTTCTGCACGCAGGGCATGTAGCGTTGGCGAGGTAATCCTGGATGTCCAGGCGGGCGTCGTGTTTGGCCCGTTGGTGGCGCTCGAGGGCCCCCGGGGACGAACAGGCGCACCCGTAGGGGCACTCGGATGCGCGCACCCGCTCGGACCTAGGCCCGGCTGCCGTGCCGCACGAGGATGCAAAAAAAAGCGCCCGACAAGCGTCTTCCAAACCTGCTCCTGCACCACGAGATCGTGCCACTGCTCCAGGCCATCCTGGAGCGTGGGGAAGCCATCGAGCAAACATGGCCTCAGCAGCTCCACGTCTTCCCACAGCTGCCTCGTCCACGGGAGAGGGCGGCCGCCTGGCCCACAGTGGAGCAGCGCGGGGAGCGTGGCTGGACGGTGACTTGCCAGCCGCGCGCAATAGGTGAGCCTCCAAGACACAATCAATGGCAAGATGGCGGAGCAATCCACGGATTTGCCGGTCCGTGTGTGTTTCGTGCGTGTGAATATCGGCTCATTCACCAATCGCCAGAGCACTACCATGCACGTGATGTCCAGATGCTTGAGCTGATTTGGGGTCAGAGCCAGCACATGCAGTCCGAAGAGCAAGCGGGTGAAGAGCCAGACGCGGGCGAATATGCGCAGTTGCGTCTCCGGCACTCGCGAGGAGACGTGGAACTTCCATGCTAGCCGCACGTACGCTTCATAGTGGACGACGAGCAATGCTTGACGCTGGCCAAGAACACTGCGCGCAGGGACACGTGCGTGCCCTAATGTTTGTACGCCTCCACCACATCGATGGACAAGCTCTGGTACGGAACAGCAAGGCGAATGTGGCCGTCACTGCAGCGTCGGGCCTCGCGGCACTCCTTGGCGCCGGGGTCGCGATATTCTAAGGGGCGTTCAGTGTTGCTGGGCGCGGCATGCAGCTGCAAGTGCAAACACTCGAATATCTCCAGCACCGTGCAGAGGAGGCGTCAATGGCGACGTCGAGGTCTTTAGGCCTACGGGCAACGATGGCCAAGGCCTCGTCGTCGATGAAGGTTGCGTCGAGCACAGGCCTGGTCTCAAGCTCGCCGTCGGCAGGGGGTCGCCAGAATTCTCGCGGCGCCTCGCCGTGGCGCTGGCCACCGGATCCGCGCCCCTACTGTTCAAGCAGGGGCCCGTGCTCAGAGATGCACTGGGTGATCCATTCCGCGGCGTGCGGCGCGACGCCAAGGCTACGGAGGTGTGGGGGACGTTGGTCGCAGGGCCGGTGGCCCCACCCGTGGAGAAGCTGGCGAAGGCTGAACTCGAACGCCCTGGTGAGGTCCACGAAGAGGGCGCACATGGACCACAGCTGTTGCGCGGCGTAGTCGACAAGGGATGCCATGATGTGAGACGTCATGTCGGTGCCTCGACCGCCCCTGGCACCGTAGTGACAATCAGGCGGGTGGTCGAGATACGGCTGCTCCAGCCAGTCCTTGACCATCCCGGTGAGCCCCTTGCTAGCGCGGTCGGCCAGCAGGATAGTTTGGCGATAGTCCATAATCTGTGGGCCACCCTTCTTCTTCCACACGTGTTGCAGCCGGCCACCCCGCCACTGCGACGGTGCCAAGGGCTACTGCGATGGACAGAGAGGCTGACGTCGCCGAACTTGCTCGCTAGGGAGGAGCCGCCGGCTTGTAGCAGCTCAGGAGGGATACCATCGAATCCAGTGCCCCTGTTGCGCCCCAGCTTCGCGTACACGTCGTTCATTTCTAATCGTGATCCTTTCTGATTGTGCTCGCTTCTAATTGTTCCTGGGCCCCCTAGTGGCCAGGAAGAGGCCCAGGATAGAACAAGTAGAAATGAAAGGATCTTGCCCCCCCCAACAAAAATCAAAGCCCCTTCGAATAATTAGAGAAATGAGCAGTGTGTGTGCTTGCCCGCTCGCCTGCGAGGCGCTGCACCACTTGCCAAACCTCTGGGCTCGGCCACTTCTGCCGCGGCTGCTGGGCAGGAGCGCCGAGGGCTTCCTGGGCAGCCCCGCGTGTCCGGGTGCACGGGAGCTCCGGGTGGTCATTCGATGTGGACGTGCTCGCCGACGTAAAGGGGACTGCCACACGTGCTGCTGGAAGAGTTCCCGCCGAATAGGGTCGATCAGGCTGAACATGTTCGCCCAGAGTGGAGGCGGAATCTGCGCAATGGCCACTGTGCCTCGATGGGCGATAGGCTCGATGTATCCCCCCTGAGCCTATCCCCGCCCTTTATGGTTTTCGGGTGATAGCTTGGCTCTCTGGCGGCGCCATTCGGAACACGCCAGGCTTCCCTGGAACACTCAACCTCAAACCTCGATTCGCAACTGTCCCCCCTTAACGTTCCCCTCCTGAGCTGGTACGCCTGAGGCGTGCGGTTTCCGAAAGAGGAAAACCGCCGCGGGAACCGACGAAGACACCATAAACCTTGAGCCTGACGTTGCCGCTTTCGACACATGCATGGCCAACTGAAGCAAGGCGCATCCTACGCGATGTAGATGCCCAGACCCCCGACCTCGTGATTTCTTTACAACGTCGACCCCCAGAGGTCTGGACCCTCTCCCTGAATCGCTGAATAGTTTTGTTGACGGCCCCGGGGCCTGGCGAGGGTCCTCACAAGCCGAAGACAGCGAAACGTCTCCCGTCGTGATTTCGCCGCCCCGCGAGGGGGTCCTGGCCGCGTTGCCGAGATGCGTCGCCGGCACCTCTGGGTCGGCTCTGGCCATCGCTTGGACGTCCATTCCCTGTGTTTTTTCTCTGTTTCGTGCGTGGCTTTTTCGCCAAGTGATCAAGGATGCTCCTCGATGATCCTCGCCGAAGGAAAAATGCACGCGTCCGAGCGCTGCCACTCCCCGCCCCGCCCGCCGCCGCACCAGCGCCGCCACGCGCCCCGAGAAGCCCAGGCCCAGCAGCCAGCGGCCGCCGAGCCCCTGGCGGCGGCGCCCCGCCCAGTCCTCCCCCCAGCAAGAGGGCGGCGCGCGGCGGGCCGAGCCCGTCGCCGCCTCCGCCGCCCGTCCTCGCCCCTGTCCTCGCCCTGGTCCTCGCCCTGGTCCTCGCCCTGGTCCTCGCCCTCCTCCTTTAGAATGATGATGCTCCCATCGCACTGAAAGGACCACATCCCACAAAGAATTTTCGAGCAGCCGGAAAACGTGCCGAAGCAGTGTCGGAGGAATGTCTCCCAGGGTCTGGCCTGTGAAACATATTTTTCTGGTGCTCGAAATTCGTTATTTTTCTGGTGCTCGAAATTCGTCCTGGTGATCAAGGCTAAAGCCGGTTGGAACATCACAACTTTAGAAGCCTCCTAGACGGGGTCCGAGACGGTGGGGTCGGAGGATCGCGCCGCACCGCCGATACATCGGCGATGCATCGGCGATGCATCGGCGATGCATCGAGGATGCACCTGCGATGCATCGCCGACGTCGGCGATGCATTCGACGCGAAGCACATCGGGCCCCACGTCGAGCCGCATCGACGATGCGGCGCGATCCTCGGGCCCCAGCTGCTCGGACCCCCGTCCAGGAGGCCTAGAGCCGCGAGGGGCGCAACAACCGAGGAGGAGGAGGAGGAGGAGGAGGAGGAGGAGGAGGAGGAGGAGGAGGAGGCGGAGTAGGAGGAGGAGGAGGAGGAGGAGGAGGAGGAGGAGGAGGAGGAGGAGGAGGAGCAGGAGGAGCGGCACATGCAAAAAAACTGCGCGCTCGTCCGCGCGGACTGCCCCCCGGATCGGCGCCCTGGGGCAGCGCCGCGAGGCGCCGCCAGGGAGGCCCTGGCGCCGACCCGAGGGATCCACGCCGCGCCGCGACAGCTTATGCGTACGCAGGTGCTCTTTCTGCTTCGACGATTGTCATCGTCCTCGTCTTTGTCCTCGCCTGGCGCTCGTCGTGGCCATCGTCCGCAGGTCCTTCTCTGCGTCGCTTCCTTCGCCGCCTCTGCCGCCCTGCTGCGCCCCCTGCTGCTTCGGTCTCCGCCTCCTCCTGCTCGTCCCCCTGGCTGCCCCCGCGGGGCGTAACGCGTGAGCCGCCACCGCAGCCCCCAGCGGCATGCCGGGGCCGCGGCCGATGCTGGGACGCCTTCAGCAACCATCGCCAGCCGCAAAGCGGAGCGCATCGACGCGCAGCGTTCCCAGACGGCCCAGGCGGCAGAGCCTCACGGCAGTCCTCGTCCTCCTCCTCCTCCTCCTCCTCCTCCTCCTCCTCCTCCTCCTACTCCTCCTCCTCCCTCCTCCTCCTCCCTCCTCCTCACGACCCTGCCGGCTTCTGACACCGAGTAGATCGTTCAGCCTTGCACGACCGGCTGTTTTCCGATCGTGGCCGACTCTCTGGGCCACCAGATCGGCGACGAGCCCGGGCCAGTGCTGCCCGAGTCTGCGCCGCCAGCTCGGCGGCGAGCCTCAGGGGGCCCTTCTCAGAAGACTCGGACGTCCCTGGGCCTTGTGACAAAAATTCAAAGCCTCCCCCGAAGACAGGGAAAAACTCTCAGAAGGCCAGGGGCCTTCTGAGACGCCCCGCCGCCTTCTGAAGAAGGATCTCTCCTTCTCACTTCCCCCCCTCGCTCGCCGACGAACAACCTGGGCGGGCACGAGCCTGCCCTGTGCAACCCGTGCAGCCAGAAGGCAGGGGCGGCGCAGGGCGCGGCCCTGCCCATCGCAACCTCGTCGCGCCGCGGGGCAAGGAGGCGCAGGCCCGTGGGGCACTGCCCGCGCTAGGGGCGTGCCGAAGCGCATGAACGGAGGACGGTTAGGCGTCGCGTGCAGTAGGAGCGCGACCACAAGAAACCTTCCACAAGAAACCAAGCCCTGAGGCCCCAGGACGTCTATTGATTTTTGTTGTGGGAACGGCACGCTTCCCATCGCAGAACCATCGAAACCCAAAAAAACCAGGGCACCCTGGAGGCCAGCAGGGTGCTTCTTGACACCGGTTTCCACTGCCATGGGGGGGCGATCAAGGGGGGGGAGGGAAGCATGGTGTACTCCTGGGGCCCGAAACGTCCCCATTGGGGCCCCACAAGGGCCCCTTCAGGGGCCCTGCAGGGCCCCTTTTCTGCAGCCCTCGCTGCCCCCCCCCCCGCCCATCCCCCCCCAGTACGCGACGCCCAAGACGCCATGCGGGCGCGCCTCCCTGGGCCGCACGTGTAACCAGCCTCGAACTGATCCCTACCCTTACGATCGGCAAGCCCAAGGCGATGACAACCTTAGGCATGTGCCCTCAGACCGTGAGGGAGGACTCGAGATCGGCACCGAGGCAAGGCGATGCCGCACACAGGGACGGGGGCATGCTCCAGGCTGCTAAGCGTGGAGCTGAGGTCGGGCCCTTCTGTTTAGCGTGCCGCGGGCGACGCGATGCGCCCTGCGAGCGGATTGCGCGAGGCTCCGCTCCGCGGGGCGGGAGGGTGGAGGAGGCTCGGCACGCCATGCTATGTCATGCTACGCGTTGATCTTCAACACCATGCGATGCCACGTGATGCTATGCCATGTTGCGACATCCGATTGTGGGAAAATAGATAAGAGATCTGCGCCATGGTACGGGATGGGAGGGAGGGGTAGGACGTCAGACAAGACGCGAGCGCACCTAGCTTGTCCTCCTCCCCCTCCTCCTCTTCCCGTTCCCCCCCTCCTGCTCCTCTCCAAGATCCTCCTCATTCCTCCTGCTCCTTCCTGGGGAGACCAAAAGGTTCCGATACCGCTTCTCCCCGGCCCTCTCCTGGGGTGCGGTGTAACCAGAATTACGAAGCGAATCCAGCGGTGGCGACGAGGGCCTCCCTGGAGGCCCAAAACAGGAAAAACGATGGACACGTAGAGGTATGGGTACCTTTTCCTCCACTGACTTCCTCTTCCTCGTCCGCCTCCTGCTGCCCCACCTCCCTCCACCTCCTCCTTCCCTCGTGCTCCGGGGCGGCCCCGGGGCCGCGCTCTGGGCGTGACGACTTGCTCCAGGGGAGGCCGCCGCGGAGGCCCCTGCCCGTGCCCCCCCCCCCCCCCCCCCCCCCCGCGGCCGCCCCGCCTCGTGGTCCATGATCCCGCACTCCCCCATGCGAGGCAGCGACGGGTCGTCCAGGCCTGCCGCCGCGCCCCCCCCATGGGCGCTCCGCAGGCGGGCGCCGCGCAGCAGCGGGGGGGAAGGACACGGCGTGCCTGGGCGCCTGCTGGCCCCGGGCGCCTGCCTCAGGTCGGGCAGGCCCCGACCTCGGCACGGCAGGACGGCCTTCTCGCCCGCTGCTCGGCAAGCCGTGGGAAGTGCCTGGGCCCTGGGCGGAAGACGGCGCTGAAGCTTTCGGAGCGGCTACAGTCAGCCCGTCGGAGAAGGACGCGCGATGAGGTGGGGGAACACATAAAAAAGCCGCAACGCTACTCCCTGGCCCTCTTCCAGGGCGTGGTCAGACCATGACCATCATTTCGAAGCGAATCCTGCGGCGGCGGCGACGAGGGCCTCCCAGAAGGCCCCCAAAAAGCAAAAACCAGGCAAGGGTAGAGGTATCGGTACCTTTTCCTCCTTTGGCATGCTGCCCCCGTCGTCGCCCGTCGCCGACGCCGTCCTGGAGCAGGGCGAGTGGAGACAACGGCAGCTCAAATCAGTCCCTGGACCCCTCCCAGGGTCCAAACGCACTACGTAGTTTTCCCGGCTGCGTTCTGGCATGGCGAGGAGGATCCTCCCCGAAGGCCCACTACCGTTGTCTCAACTGGCCCTCGTCGCCGCCCTCGTCGCCACCGCCCTCGCAGCCGCCGTCGACGCCATTTGCCGTCTCCGCCGCCGCCGTCCTCATCTCGCCGTCGCCGTCGCCAGCGCCGCCGCAAACGCCGTCGCCGCCACCGTCGGTGCCATCCGTCGCCGTCGCCGCCGTCGCCGCCGCCGTCCGCCGCCGTCCGCCGTCCGTCACCGTCCGCCGCCGCCGCCGCGCGGTGGGCGCGCTTGCCCAGGAGGTGGCCGCAGTCGTGCAGCAGCGCGGCGATCGTGGCGTCGCTGCCGAGCCCTGCGCGCCCGGCCAGCTCGGCCGCCTGGAGCGCGATGCCAGCGGGGGGGCCACCACTGAGTGGGTGCCATCTCGCTGTCATCTTACAGTCTCTTGCGAATCGACGCTAACCGACGCTAATCGATGCTAAATCAGCGCTGGTCGCCGCTGAATATGGCGGTTTCTCATCGACTTCCAAACGCTAGCGCACGCTAATGCACTCTCAACTTGTAGTTGATGGTGACAGGCTTCCACTGGCCTGGGCACTTTTGGACGAAGGCCGAGAAAAGAAGTATTGGGTGAGGGAGAGACAAGCCAGAAATCACCTAAGGCAACTCCCAACCGCAATCAGAAACAATGGAAGGACCCCTAAAGATAACTAGAACTCCAACTCAACCGAACCAACTCGATTCCGAGTCTGGCGGCTTTGCCATGGCCCTGGGACCCGAACAAATCGATGCAGCTCGAGAACCGCCGCTGGTCGTGATTGTTCGCGAAGTTGCATTTGTTCGCAACGTCGGATCTCAAAGTCTCCACTTTCTCGCGGAAGCGCCAATTCCTCTTCAGACCCCCAAGAACATGTCGGGCCCTTCCGGAACAAGCCCGAACGTCCGAAGAACTTCTCGTGCGTCGGTCCTGGAACCTCCATTCCCGAAAGGCAAGGATTGGCGGCGAGCGCGGGGGAAGTGAGAAGGGGCGGTCCCTCTCAGAAGGCTCGGAAGTCCTTCAGCCATCTGTGAAGTTTGTTCAAGCCTTCCCTGAAGACACAGATAACTTCTCAGAACGCGCGAGGGCTTCTGCGAAGCCCCGCCGCCTTCTGAGAAGGCCTCCGCCTTCTCACTTCCCCCCTTCGCTCGCTGCCGACAGGGGGAACTGAAGATCCCCCAGTGGTGGACCCCCTCTTGGCACTGCCCGACGCCTGGAGCGCGTGCTCCAGCTGGGAGACCGCCTCCGCGCCGGGAGGTGCGCGCGGCGCCCGAGGGGGAGGAGCGGGCAGACCCCGGCCGCCCAGACGTCGTCCATCGACGGTGCATCGGCAGTGGATCGCCGGCAGGACCCGGGTGAGCGACGATCGAAAAGGGCTATTGCACGATTCGTGAGTGCGCCGAGACGTCCGGCCCCAAGGGGCAGGGGGCCTCCGAAGACCGCGCTGGCGCTCTCCCAAGGAACCTCCGCCGGCCACCTCGCCCACTCGCCTGCGTGTCGTCCGCGCCTGAGCGACGATCCAACACGGGTCTTACGCGAGGTGGCGCAGCGACCTTACGCGGTGGCTTACGCGGGCCGCCCGCGCGGCACGCCACATTTGAAGCGAGGGCGCTTACGCGCGACCTCACGCGGGCAACTTAGGCGCGAATGTCGGCGCAGTCGACCCTCCTTTTCTTGCGTCGCGCTCAGGTGGGGAAGCCCCACGTTCCTGCGTCGGCGAAGAATGGGCGGCGGTGTCGATGATTCTAGGTCGCCCAGCTTCGCGCGTCGCGCCCCGCGATGCGCAGCGCGCAGCTGTCTTCGCGCCCTCCATCGGGTCCACCTGTGATGCCTAGGTTGCACTGTTTGATGCTACACGTCCATACTTCGACCTCGTATCTACCATGTTCGAGCGCCTCCTAACCTGTAGAAGTAGCTATACGTAACCACATGGTAACACAACGGGGGCACAGGCAAACACCTTCAGACTCGCAGGGCCATGCCCGTCGCCTTGGACGTCTCGCTTCATCCGCACAGCTGGTGGCAAAATGCTATAACGCACGATTCACCGCTGCATTCAGTAGCCACAGCGTGGCATCATATACATGTATACGTATGCACATATTCATATATATGTGTGTGTACACCAGGCAGTTATCGAGATAACTTGGCCGTCGGAAAATGTTGGCATAGACACCGAACACGGGGAAGATGACAGACCAAGCCAACAAATGACCGAAACGCGAAGTGCAGCGTCGCCTCTCCGACGTAGTCACCATTGCCATGTCTGTCGAAGAGGGCAAACACCTGATCCACGGACTCCCGTGGCGTCGGCGCGCTGGACGCGATCCATCGCTGTCCTGGCAGAGCCCGCGTGCAAAGGCAACTCGAACGGCAACATCATTGCAAAGATAATCAATACTCTGCCAGCCGTGATGACACAGTGCATATCACCGGGACAGAAACCATAGGCGGCAGACAGCCAAAGACTCACCGATTGACCAAAGCAGAAGCCACTCACAAAGCAACATGACCAGACGACGTGCCGCAGGTGCATATTCAGCGCGACAGCCCGCAGCATGACAGCAAGACTAGGCCTCGAGCCTCTCTCAGAAACCAAGGAACCCAATCACTGGTGGCAAGGCATCTGTCCGAAAAACGATGCCATCAATCGGGTCGGGCGAAAGGGGGGGATAGCAAAGGGGGGGGGTGAGAATCAGCTCACGTAGCTGATTTTCCCGGCGCCTCCCGGCGACGGAAGCGACTCTGCATCGAGGAATGGGCCCTTCGGTGGGGCCGAAACCAGCTGCATGCAGCACATTTCGTAACCCCCCCATTTCCCAATCCCCCCCTTTCGTCTGGCCCGAATCAATCTCTCGATGCGTGCTGCCTGCAACCCGCCACTGATGACAACCGCGGGGGCACGCCGGGGCTGCCCTGCGGCGGCTGCGGGGCTCGGGCGCCAGTGCAAACAGACTCGCCGCATGAGATGTCTTCTCTTCCTCCTCCTCCTCCTCCTCCTCCTCCTCCTCCTCCTCCTCCTCCTCCCACACCAATTTATAGTGGTGGTGGAAAACTCTGTCCCAACCCCGGCACAACCAGCCGGCCGCTGGCGGCGACTCTCTTTCAAAGCACCATGGGAGGGTCGCGTGCGCGGGCGGGTCGCGGGGCGGCTCGCGAGGCGACGACGATGACAACGGAAACGACAGCAAGGATCCGCACCGCAGAACCCCACCTTACGCCACCCACGCACGGACAGTGTGAGACCGTGCGGCCCCTCACTCTGCCTTGGACACTCCACGAATCCATGGAGAACCAGACGACCAAAACAACGCCCTGGGTGAAGTGGTCCTGGCGGGCAGTTACTGGCCGCGGCAGACAGCTGGGAACAGCCAATAGAGTGCCCTGCTGTCCTGGGCACTGCCACGAGCACCCTCGGCAACGGAGTCGTGGCCAGCACCCATCCACACCGAGCCGCGCTCCTGCGCGCTGCGCCACGGCGCGCGGCGCAGCCACGAGCGTCCTCCACATCGCACGGGCCGTCTTAGCCGACCGAAGTGCCAGGAGGTGCCGAGCAGCGTCTCAAGGACACGGGGGCACTCCAGGGGGGAACCGCAGCTCCAGGCCCTTCGCCACACTGGCGATCACCCACAATCCAACATATCCTAGACGTTGTCATACTGCCAACTGCGACCTGGGATGTGGGGAATGTGGGGTTGGGAAGAGTACAGGATGCAGAGCGAGGGAGGAAATGAGGCCATAGCAAGTAGTGGAGGGAGGAGATCCGAAGGAGTCGGAAAGGAGAGGAGACAGGGAAACGGAAGAGACGGGGGGCACCCCGAGCTATCCCGCACTTCTCTCGGCCAAGTCTTGTAATGATCGAGTGTCGCCTGGGCTACCAAGCCCAGGGCATCGGATAACCCTGCGAGGGCTACTTCCTCCTTGAGCCTCGGCTCCGAGGCGCGCAACATGCCGTGACACAACACCAATCCGCAATCTCCCTTTCCCCCTCAACTTCACTCTTTTCCGTTCCCTCTCTTTCTTCCTCCCTCCCTCCACTCCCCCCTCGCAGGCACCCTCATTGCCTGACTTCTGTTCCTCCTCCTTCTCAGGAAGAAGAGCACACAGCATGAAGCACAAACGTAAACTTTCGAAGGTCGGGGCGGATTTGCTTGGATCGGCGCTGGTCCCCTGGGCGCCTCCCCCACGGCGTGCTCCGCGCCAAGGGTGGTATCCAGCGCTGACCAAAGAAGTCCGTGCCGACCTCCGAAAGTTTGTTGGCGGCGCGCACATGAGTGTGTGGGGGGGAGGGCGGGGGGCTTCGCAGAAGGAGGCTGCTTCTCAGAAGGCGGTAACCTTACATCTGAAGGCAAGGTCCGCGTCTTCTAAGGAGCAGCCTCCTTCTAAGAAACCTTCCCACTTCCCCCTATACCCCACCTCTGAGCGTGGCCGAGCTTATGTTCATTCATTTGTTTTCTTCTTCGATTCTCAGGGTCCTCCTCCTGCTCCTCACGTGCGCCGAAGCGTCCGGCCCCAAGGGGCAGGGGGCCTCCGAAGACCGCGCTGGCGCTTTCCCAAGGAACCTCCGCCTGCCAGCTCTCCCATCCCTCACCTCGTCCACTCGCCTGCGTGTCGTCCGCGCCTGAGCGACGATCCAACACGGGTCTTACGCGAGGTGGTGCAGAGACCTTTCGCGGTGGCTTACGCGGGCCGCCCGCGCGGCACGCCACATTTGAAGCGAGGGCGCTTACGCGCGACCTCACGCGGGCAACTTAGGCGCGAATGTCGGGACAATCGAACCAATTGCTGTTGCGTCGCTCACCTGTTCTTCCTCCGATGCTGCACGATGATCTTGCATAAATCAGGGTTATCCTGGGTCGCCGGCTGTTGCGCAGGCTGTCGATAAGCCTCCTCTTGCTTCATCATAAGGGCGTACAATCGCCCTCCTGCTTCGATCACCCAACCCCTCCCACATCCCCTATCCCGGGGGCTGAGAAGGAAGACCATCCGTCAACGCGCCTCTCCCAGAGCGACAGGGAACCTTGTGACCCCACGGCGGCACGCGGGGGCGTTGAACTCTCCAGCCGCCCTGGGACAAGCGCCGCCTTTGACGGGGAGACGTAAAACTCGGGTTCTGGGGACTCGGGTTGGCCTGACGGGGTCATCACGAAAATGACGAGACCCAATGTGACATTTGACATGACCTCCCACTGCAGACATCCCACGAAAACTGGACCATCAAAATCGAGGACACGTCCGTCAAAAAACGTCGGCAAACCCGAGCTCCGGAGAACTCGAATCCTGCGTTTCCAAGGAAGGGTGCCCCCCCCAAAAAAAATACCCTGTGACGTACCCAACCCATTTGTATCATGGGAAACGAGGAGTTGGCCGAAACTTGCATGGACAATCACATTGCAGGATCCGTTGTTTGATATGTAAGCTACTTGGGACATGCGCCTATGGCATGATGCGCCTTGGACAACTACAGGCTCGAAGAGGACATGGGGAGTCGGGAACGAAGAGCAGGAGAAAGACGTGCGGGAAGCCCACTGTGCTGGGCCCCCCAGCAGGCCTCGAAAGTGGCGACAGTTTCACAGATCGCAGCCCCCCAGGGATGGCGAGGTCTAATTTGAATCCGCGGTGACTATCCACTGTGCTGGGCCCCCCAGCAGGCCTCGAAAGTGGCGCCACATTCACAGATCGCAGCCCCCCAGGGATGGCGAGGTCTAATTTGAGTCCGCGGTGGGTACCCACTGTGCTGAGCCCCCCAGCAGGCCTCGAAAGTGGCGACAGTTTCACAGATCGCAGCCCCCCAGGGATGGCGAGGTCAAATTTGAATCCGCCGTGTGTACCCACTGTGCTGGGCCCCCCAGCAGGCCTCGAAAGTGGCGACAGTTTCACAGATCGCAGCCCCCCAGGGATGGCGAGGTCCCATTTGTGTCTGCGTGTGGCCACTGTGCTGGGCCCCCCAGCAGGCCTCGAAAGTGGCGACAGTTTCACAGATCGCAGCCCCCCAGGGATGGCGAGGTCAAATTTGAATCCACGGTGACTACCCACTGTGCTGGGCCCCCCAGCAGGCCTCGAAAGTGGCGACAGTTTCACAGATCGCAGCCCCCCAGGGATGGCGAGGTCTAATTTGAATCCGCGGTGAGTACCCACTGTGCTGGGCCCCCCAGCAGGCCTCGAAAGTGGCGACAGTTTCACAGATCGCAGCCCCCCAGGGATGGCGAGGTCTAATTTGAATCCGCCGTGTGTACCCACTGTGCTGGGCCCCCCAGCAGGCCTCGAAAGTGGCGACAGTTTCACAGATCGCAGCCCCCCAGGGATGGCGAGGTCTAATTTGAATCCGCTGTGTGTACCCACTGTGCTGGGCCCCCCAGCAGGCCTCGAAAGTGGCGACAGTTTCACAGATCGCAGCCCCCCTGGCGAGGTCGAGTCCGCGGTGTGCCCACTGTGCTGGGCCCCCCAGCAGGCCTCGAAAGTGGCGACAGTTTCACAGATCGCAGCCCCCCAGGGATGGCGAGGTCCCATTTGAGTCCGCCGTGTGTACCCACTGTGCTGGGCCCCCCAGCAGGCCTCGAAAGTGGCGACAGTTTCACAGATCGCAGCCCCCCAGGGATGGCGAGGTCTAATTTGAGTCCGCCGTGGGCCACTGTGCTGGGCCCCCCAGCAGGCCTCGAAAGTGGCGACAGTTTCACAGATCGCAGCCCCCCAGGGATGGCGAGGTCCCATTTGTGTCCGCCGTGTGTACCCACTGTGCTGGGCCCCCCAGCAGCCCTCGAAAGTGGCGACAGTTTCACAGATCGCAGCCCCCCAGGGATGGCGAGGTCAAATTTGAGTCCGCCGTGTGTACCCACTGTGCTGGGCCCCCCAGCAGCCTCGAAAGTGGCGACAGTTTCACAGATCGCAGCCCCCCAGGGATGGCGAGGTCCCATTTGAGTCCGCCGTGTGTACCCACTGTGCTGGGCCCCCCAGCAGGCCTCGAAAGTGGCGACAGTTTCACAGATCGCAGCCCCCCAGCTGGCACGCAGCGACGAGCGAGGCAAAAGGCAAGGGGGAAGAGAGGGGCGGGAAGGAGGCAAGGCGACGCGCGAGCAGCGCTCTATTCAAAACGAGAACCCAACGCAGGAGGGTTGGGAATAAACTTCCGGGGGTGCGCGCGGATCTCTTGGATCGGCGATGGACCTCCCCCACTAGCGCCAGAGGCGCCGCCGGGAGGGCGCCAGCGCCGATCCAAGAAACCCGCGTGGAGCTCCGACAGATTATCGGTATGCAGTTCTCATCGCGGCGCTAGCTGCACGGCAGGCGCGGCTTTTGGCGGCAAGCGGTCAGCGGGGAGGTGCTGCAGCGGGTGGCGAGCCGCCCCACCCAACGTCGGGGGAACAAAAAAATCACCACGACCAATCTCGACTGGAGCCCTGGACAATATCTTTCTGCAACATCTATCGAGCCGGATCGATCCGTGAGGGTCCCGGGGACGGAAAGAGGGTGAAAGCGCCTGGTGTGAAACGTACTGCAACTCATCCTGGATCTCGGGGCGGGGCAAGGCTTCTCATCCCGAATCGTGTTTTCGCGTGGCCGTCCTGGGACCCGGCGAGGGCCCCCAGAGGCCGAAATTAGCAACACACCTCCCGCCATGTCTTTCCCTCGACGCGATGGGGTCTGGGTGGCGAGCCGCCTCGGTGCCGTGAGGAGGGCGGCGGCGCGAGGCGGTGAGCGCTCTCGCGAGGACACGGCGAGCACATCCGGGCCGCCGCGGCCCGGCTGGCCGGGCTGCCCGTCCACGCGGCTCTTGTTGGCGAGGCGCGGCGGATGGGCGCCCCCTGCCTGGGCGGTGCCTGGCCATCGCTCGGACGTCCATTCCCTGTGCTTTTTTGTCGGTTTCGTGCGTGGTTGTTTCACCAAATGATCAAGGATGCTCCTCGATGGTCCTCGACGAAGGAAACCTGCACACGTCCGAGCGATACCAAGTTGCAGGGGGGGAATGGGAAAGGTAGCGCTCTTCCCGAAGCAGCTTCTCTGCAAGGTCAGGGAAGAACTCCTGGACGGTCTTCGTAAGAACGATGCGTATTAAAGACCATCAAACAATATATTAGCGCCGATTGAGCGCGGGACGAAGCCAGATTAGGCGGGATAAGCCCGATTAGCCAGGATTGGACTGTGCCGGATGTCGACCACGGATATACCAGCGCCGACGCTGAATCGAATCTTCCAGGAGTTGCACTCGGATGGAGAACAAATTCTTGTTTTCCTCTACGCATCGTGCTTGCAGAAAGTTTTGTATCATTCTTCTAACGCCAGCGGGGGGGGGGGGCGGGCCACCGAAGCCCGTCGTGGCAGGCGAAACCTCGGCTGACCCGACAAGCGAACGAAGATCAGTGCCCCTCTGACGGGGACTCCACTGACGGGTGCTTTGACCAGTGACGCCAGTGACCTGGAGAACCCAACCCTCCCCGATGTGGGCAAGGCTGCAATGCCAAAAAGAGGTTCCAAATAGGAAACTTTCGGCACCTGTCCAGAATACCCGCTCGTGAGCACCCGCTGCGGTGCCGCTGCGTGCCACTCAGAGGAGGCCATCGGGCGGGCCCCGGGCCGAGCCCTCGGCGGCCCTGCCCGGCGCGCGAGGCGCCCACGAGGCGCCCACGGGCGGGCGCCCAGGAGGTGCCCACGGGCGGGCGGGCGGGCCTCGGGCGACGCCCCTGCTGGCCCCACGGGGGCACGGGGGCGCCCACGAGGCGCCGCCGAGGCGGGCCCCGAGACGACGCCCCGGCGGACTGCCGCCCGCGCGGGGCGCCCACGGAGTGCGCTCCCGGGCGGGCCCCGGGAGCGAGGCCTCGAGGCTGGCCCGCTCGGCCCGCGAGGCGCCCGCGGAGGGGCACCGGGCCGAGGCCTCGGCGGACCTGCCCAGCGCGCGAGGCGCCCACGAGGCGCCCACGGGCGCGGGCGCCAGGCGGAACCCTGGCTGAGCGAGCCAGTTCCCTGCAGTGAGCGAGGTGCGGGCCGCTCAGTGCCAAAGCACTGTGGTGGGGGGGGGCACCGCCTTCTGGAGTTCGGGACGATGCCGGAACAAACGACTGCGGCGCAGAGTGTTGGCCAACGGGCGCAGTCGTGCTATCTTCCCTCCAGCTGGGGAAGGGGCTCAAGGAAGAGTAACAGACATTCCTGGGGGATCTAAGCGAAACGTCCAAAACAATCGTGAATGTTCACCAGTCGCTTCGATGATCCCGAAACCCTGACTGGGTCTTGCAAGTATGCGCAGAGGCTCACGACAGAGGGTCAGCGATTCGCATTCAACATCAAAGACATGCGCCGTAAACTCAGAACCTGGATAATCAATCCGAAACGCTAAGGTGTGATCGCTGCCCGCTCCTCGTATACCAGCGTGAGCCACCGATCCTGGAGCCCAACCCTGACCCTCATTTTCTTCTAGGGGACAAGGCAGCTGAAGTGCGAGGGAGGGCTTCCCGACCAAACTCAGGGTTTGAGGGCCAGTGCGCCAAGCACATTCTGAACGCCATGAAAGTTGCAAGCCGACGCATGCGCGTTTCGGTGGTTCAGATCCTTCGGCCTGCAAGTCAGAGCAAGAGCCTTGGCCAAGGACACGCCGCGTCCACTCCAGCATGTCGGACATGGCCTGCTCTTTCGGGAAGTGGCCACCTCGTGGCCGACTTTTCCCCATTGTGTGGAGCGCGAGGGGACGTCAACGAGAGACGTAGGAAGCAGCACACCCGCACGCGATCGTGTGCTAGCCCTCCCTTGGGCTCTGTTTCCCTCAGCACAGCGACGGGCGCCAAGGGCGACGCATCCAAAAATGGAGCATGCGCCTGGGCTCGTGCACGCAACGCCGCAGAGGGCCGCGTGCAGGACGGGGCACGTGACTCGTGCGCAACACGTACATATTATACGTATATGAGCGTGTATGTATATGAAAGTAGTCACACACACATATGTATGTATATGATTATGAGTATATGTATGCATACACACACATAAATGTAGCTATACACATATATATATATATATATATGTATTTATGTGTGCGTGTATGTGTGTAACCTATAACATTCGACAGTCTCTGAAGTCTCGGGCGCTCCTTGTCGCGCGCGCGCCGCGCGATTACTGTTCCAGACTTTCTACGCCCTGTCGCTGCGCGCAGGGCCGCGGTACCAAAAAGAGTGTGTGTGTGTATGCTCGGCTGCCTCGGGTGCAGTTCTGCCTGCCCCTTTGGGGAAACCACGAGGTACAGATACCGCTACTCCCCGGACCTCTCCCAGGGTGCGTCTTGGCCAGAATTTCGAGGCGAATCCAACGAGTGCAGCGAGGGCCTCCCAGGAGGCCGATGGAGGGCGAAAACGAGACAAGGGTGCAGCAGTATCGGTGCCGTTTCCTTCTCTGACCGTTGCCCCGCTGCCCCCCCTCCCACAAGCTCTCTTCGACCTTATCCGCCTCTGGGCTCTGATGGGGTCACGATAATTAGGGGGTCGCCTGGCGCGAGGGAGGACACGTCGACCTGGAATCGGCCATACGTCGCCGACAACTCGGCGAGTAAGGGGTCCGATCATGAAACCGGCCTGCGGTGCGTCCATGGGGCGGCCGCTACCGAAAGCCCCAGCGCGCGAAGCCTCGCACCGCGGCGCGCTGCGCTAACCTTCTCTACCCGGCCGCACCTTCCAACATTAGAGTATACTTGACTTTGCTCCTTCTCAGCTTCCCTCCTGACATACGATAGTCAGATCTACTCTGCTCTTCTTTACTT